ATTTGTATATACTATAGTTTTGTGTGGCTGATGAATGTACACTTATGGTATATTAAATTAACTTTGTTACATCTAAACTTTGGCTATGTTTTGCACAAGGAGTGATCAATACGATTTAGATCCATATCACTCAACATGTAATTATTTAGGAGGTTGACACTGTGCAAACAAGGAAGTGTTTATCAAACTAAACTGTACGGGATATACGAGCTACAAAACACCCAGTATTACACACCCGACCACTGCAACAGTTGTACAAAAACTTACTGTTTGTTTATTCTGAAAAGAGGTGAGTTAAAAAAAGCCTAACCATCGATATTGTTAAACCAGTATTACACAATGTTTTGACTTGGCGAATAAATTACGCAAGGTGATGGAGACAGTGGTATGTAGATTATTTGCTGCCACACTGACATATCAACATGTATTGGGGGGGGGGGCAAGGGTTATTTTCGTTCAACGTAATTGCAATATTTTTTTGTTCGTACAACGTAAATAGAAAAAATAAATTCCGTAATTCTGTAATCACAGGCTAGACGTACAACGTAATCAATCAAATATTTTTTTCGTACACTGTAAAAATGTGTGTACGTACAAAAATTCACATCCAAATAAAAAAATCGTAAAGAATAATCCAGGGAAATTACATTTTAGAAACTGTAAAACGACTAGATGACACAATTCACTACAAAATTGAATGTCAAGACGTAAAAGGCCCTCTAGCCGAATGAAGAGCATTACGAGGGTAATATGCGCATGCATCTCTTCACACGGCGCAGCAATGGCGGAGAATTTGAGTCGGAGAGCTCTTCGGACCATTCAATGTTCCATTTGTTAACACTGTAAACTGTAAAAACGTCTTTTTTTTCTTCGTAAATTGTGAAAAGCCCTTTTTATTTCCCGTAAAACCGTACCAGCTACCCCCCTTGCCTCCCCTCTGTATTTATTTAACGCTGTATACTGACTGCAGGATTTCTGAAAATCTTGCATTTCAAACCTTACAGCACAAAAAGTTAATGAGTTTATCTCATATGGAAAGTAACAAGGTAAAATATTTTAATTACCAGAATTGTGTTCATGATTTATAGAAATATAGTATACACACAACAGAAAACACTTTGTTTAACAGCAGAAGCCATTTTGTAAAGTTCGTTCACGGGATAATTACGATTGCAATAGATTTATGAATAGACTTTGGGTGGAGGTCCATATTATAATACAGTTTCTGAATCTAGCCATCTGGCACAAGAAGACCTGTGATTCCGCCAAAAACTAAATAAATTGGCTTAAATATCTAACTCAATCGAGATCTCATTAGTCGTTAACACAGCTCATAGTCATTGCACATGTACGATCAACAGATAAAAATAGGGAAACCTTGTACAAGTAATAATTCAAATTATTAAAAAGTACACAGACTCCCATTGGTAAGTTTTCAATATGGTCTTTTAAGAGCTGAACACCAGACATCCCAAAAAGATAGGGACAATTCCCTGCAATTGCAGAAGAAAGCAATGATCTATTTAAATGTGTCAATTGAAGTAGGTGGGGTTAGATATGATGTCAGATTACATCATTAGAGTGTTGCAATAGTTCTAGCTGGAGCCAGTTTATTTGTGTTTATTTTTGTCTATTTGTGTTGAATGAGATTGGTCAAGTCATGTCAGAGAAATGACCCTGGAACTGCATTTGTTGAAAAATAATGAACACTAGTCTGCCATTTTCAATCCGATCTGGACAAAAATGACACACATCAAGAACCCATTATGTTCAATGGACACACCAAGTTGGAATGAAATATGTCAATGCATGCCAGAGATCCAGTTCAGAAATGCTAGATTTTAATGAATTTTAGCAGTAGAATGGATACCATACTACCATTTTGTCGAATTACATTTGTTGAATTAAAATCTGTATTAAAAGCCGCATCCCTAACAGAAGTTGCACCCATTCTTTTTGAATAATTGAGAACCAAAAATTCATCATTTCTCATGTGTAGATGCTCTAATAGAAGCCATCCTATCTGTTGCATTGTACCATTTTATTAGAAGCTGCGGCTTTTAATACAGATTTTACAGTAGTTCATGAAACAAATGCATATGCACATGTATGATGTAATCAACCTAGGCATGTCTGAGACACAGAGACAGATGCATATGGTGAAACCACCAGATGCAAAATTTCGGTTCATTTCCACCAACTGGTCTTGAGAGGAATTTGATTTAAAAAAAATCAACTTATGGTATATTATGGGTAAATTTAGTTATTAAACATGGTATCAGGATAAGTTATTATCTGAGCTACAGCATTCTGATTGGGCAATTTCATTGTCCACTATTTTGAATTTAAAAAAAAAAGGAAGTGATCATTTTCACCATGTTCTAGAAAGCATTTTTTTTTTGTAGCATCACTTGCTGACACACTTTCTAAGAATTTGCTTCAGCAGTCCCGTGATTTTGACCACCATTTTGGATTTCAAAAAAATAGGAAGTTATCATTTTCACCTAGGCATCCAATTTTTTTTTGGTAGCATTATTGCTGGTTACATGTATGTGATTGTGGCTGCCATCTTTGTGAAAATGTAAATTGTGCAATTACATTGTATTGGTCTCAAATTTTGTATGTGCATTCTAGTCTTGAAATGCATTCTTTCACCCAAATGAAACATGACTAGGTCACATGGTTGGGTGCCCATGGCATGGGGGTGTCTAACCTCATTATTATGCATAATTATCACATCTCACTGCTGTTATGCATGCTGTGATTGGTTGAGACTCAGTCACATGACATTGAATAAAAATGGATATTACATGGTATATTACATGGGTATATCACATGGATGACGTCACTGAAACTACTACGCAAGGATACTGCGCATAACAAATTGTCATTCGCTGCACTGGTTCTGCCCTGGCCGCTGTAGTTTACGAGGCTGCTTTCAAGGTTTTGAAGGAACTTATGCCATCCGAAATAGACAGCGAACGTGCCAGAATAAATATTAAGTAAGATACTCTGTTTTGATGTTTTGGGTATTTTTAGTCGTCGCAGCCGGGGTCGCTGCAGCACGTTCTACGCTGCGAGCATTTCTATGCGTTCCACGTCGATGGTAACCGAAAATGCTCTAAAGCTGTGTGACTTGTGTATAGAAGGTGTGGTACTTTGGTGCGAAAGTAATTTAGTCACTTCCACGGCACTCTAATCTTGAGATTGATCAAATAACTTGCGTTTGAGAATTTCAAAAATGTTATTCTCGATAAATTGAGTGATTCACACTGCTGAAACACTGTTACTAAAAAGAGTATCTGTGGCTGAAAATAACATTTACTGAGTGTATTTCACAGTTTTTTTAGCAAACAATGTATGTATGTTATTATGTAGTGTGAAACTTGTTATAATAGATAAAATATTGCCTACTTCAAATATAAGTGTTATTTGGTGGGAGAGCGGGTGTGAGTGATGTATGCTATATGTGATTGTGCATGGTTGATGTCTGTTCGATGTGATAATATAAATAACACATGGTTATTCGGGCAATATCACAATTTGTCTGCCCTCGGG